TGTTGGTCAGGCTGGTCTCGAACTCCTGACCTCAGGTGATCCACCCGCCTCGGCCTCCCAAAGTGCTGGGATTATAGGCGTGAGCCACAGCACCTGGCCATATATATATATATATATATATATTTTTAAGACGGAGTTTCACCATGTTAGTCAGGCTGGTCTTGAACTCCCAACCTCAGGTGATCTGCCCGCCTTGGCCTCCAAAATGCTTGGATTACAGGCATGAGCCACCACGCCTGGCCTTTTTAATTTTTTGGGGAGTCTTATTTTTTATTTTATTTTATTTTTTGAGACAGAGTTTCGCTCTTGTTACCCAGGCTGGAGTGCAATGGCGTAATCTCGGCTCACCGCAACCTCTGCCTCCTGGGTTCAGGCAATTCTCCTGCCTCAGCCTCCTGAGTAGCTGGGATTACAGGCATACGCTACCATGCACAGCTCATTTTTTATATTTTTAGTAGAGACAGGGTTTCACCATGTTGACCAGGATGGTCTTGATCTCTTGACCTTGTGATCCACCCGCCTCGGCCTCCCAAAGTGCTGAGATTACAGGCTTGAGCCACGATGCCCGGCCTATTTTATTTTTTGAAATGGAATCTTGCTCTGTCACCGAGGCTGGAGTGCAGTGACTTGATCTCAGTTCATTGCAACCTCCGCCTCCTGGGTTCAAGCAATTCTCCTGCATCAGCCTCCCAAGTAGCTAGGACTATAGGCACATACCACCATGCCTGGCTAATTTTTATAGTTTTAGTAGAGATGGGGTTTCACCATGTTGGCCAGGATGGTCTTGATCTCCTGACCTCATGATCCGCCCACCTCAGCCTCCCAAAGTGCTGGGATTACAGGTCTGAGGCACCATGCCTGGCCAGGAGTCTTATTTTTTGTGGACCCTGAAAGTTAAGGGAAAAGTCCTAAAAAGTCACTGAGCAGGTGGGACGCAGGCTATCTACAGTCTGATGAGGGAGGTTCAGTTCAGTTTAACATTCTCTGAGGTGTACCTTGTGCTGAGACTGGTTCTAGGGACACAGAGATGAATCAAACACTGAACCTGTCCCACAGGGCTTACAATTTGGTAGGGGAGACATATAAGTAAATAGATACTGACTCTGCAGTGATCAGTAGTTACAAACTGGGAAGCATAAGGGTTAATGGGAGCATGAAAGGGGTTTTGTGCCTCCTTTTTTTTCTTTGAGATGGAGTTTGGCTCTTGTTGCCCAGGCTGGAGAGCAATGGAGTGATCTTGGCTTACTGCAACCTCCGCCTCCTGGGTTCAAGTGATTCTCCTGCCTCGCCCTCCTGAGTAGCTGGGATTACAGGCATGAGCCACCATGTCCAGCTAATTTTGTATTTTTAGGGTTTCTCCATGTTGGTCAGGCTGGTCTCAAACTTCCGACCTCAGGTGATCCACCCACCTTGGCCTCCCAAAGTGCTGGGATTACAGGTGTGAGCCACTGTGTCATCCTTGTGCCTCCCTTTTATAATTTATTTATTTATTTTTTCTGAGACCAAGTCTTGCTCTGTCACCCAGGCTGGAGTGCAGTGGTGTGCTCTCGGCTCACTTCAACCTCTGTCTCCCGGGTGCAAGCAATTCTCCTGCCTCAGCCTCATGAGAAGCTGGGATTACAGGCAGTTGCCATTATGTCCGGCTAATTTTTGTATTTTGTAGAGATGCAGTTTCACCATGTTGGCCAGGCTGGTCTTGAACTCTTGATCTGAGGCGGTCTACCCACCTCGGCCGCCAAAAGTGCTGGGATTACAGACATAAGCCACTGCGCCCAGCCAGTATTTATTCTTGTATACAAATAGAATATACATTCATTCATTCTTCCTTTTCTTCATTCAGTTCACCACAATTTATTGAGCATATATCTTAGACCAAAGTGAGTGGAAGTGGAGTTGGACAGGAGGAGAGAAATTTAAAAATCAAAAAAGTAAAATTTATCAGGCTTTGTAACTACTTGCCCAGGAGAAAGACGCAAGAGTTAATAAATCTGAGATTTTTGGCTTGGGCACCTGGGTGGATGATAGTGTCATTCACCAAGTCAGGTAATGGGTATCTTTTTGGCCTGAATTTTAAAAACGAATTTTAAAGAGCAATGAATATTTTGCTTGGAGTGCTAGACCTTAAACTCAGTTTAAAAAAACATTCTTAGAACATTGGCTTTCTATATAATGTAGACAATATAAAAATCAAAGTGGGGAGGTCTACCACGTTGGGAATAGAGAGAAATGTCAGAGTCACTAGCTAATAGTAGAAATCAATGCAAAATTGAGTGTCAGGTAGTCAAATCAATTGACAGCAGGCCAAGGTAGATTAAAATGAACAAGAGATTTACAGTGTAAGAGAGGAAAGCAGATGAGAGGCATTTTAGGAGCAGAGGGCAAACTGAGTGGGAAGAGTCAAAATGATGAAATGAAATTATAGAGAATGAAAAGATTTAAAGTAGACTACTTTGATCAGGGAGGAGGTGGTGATGATAAAGGCAGCTGCTTTCAGCAACAGAATTTGAATACAAGGAGAGAAAGTGTGAAGCAAGAGGAAACTGGTCTTGGGAACAAATGAATCATCTTCTTCATGTAGTAGCTCTGCCCTGAGTTGCATGAATATTCATAAACAAATGCAGGTTTCCTGTGGTGGCAGTGATCTAGGCATGGAAAATACAGTATTAATGTTAGGTTATAGCACTAATTATCTCAATCAGTTGAAGGACCCATTTCTCTTGATTGAAAATTTTTTAGCAACGAATGATCCTTACAGCATTTTTTTTTCATATATATATTTTTTATAGAGATGGGGTCTCGCCATGTTGGCTGGGCTGGTAACTCCTGACCTCAGGTGATCCTCCCAAAGTGCTGAGATTACAGGCGTAAGCCCGGCCCAGCATTTTGTTAACATTGCTGAAAGGACTGCTGGGGCATCAGATAGGGGACTGAAGGGAATCTCAGTGTCTACTTCCAGCTTTTCCTTAGGTTGGATGTATTTCACATGTAAAATGATGGTAGCATAGCACCTAACTCATAGAATTGTTGTGAGGATGAATCATGGTTTCCCTTTGAGCCCCAGTTTCTCTTGTTATCGAAAGGGGATAGTGATTTTTTGTGTGACTCAGGAGTATGTGGCAAAAACACACTTAGGATTACACAGGAATAGCTTTCATTAAGAGAGCTGCTAGGTGACATCTTCTCCATGGTGGCTATTCAATTATTAAATGAATGATTCTGGAGAACTTTTGTAATTTCTCATTATTATTTATCATCAATAGGCCATGACCTAAGGTAAGGTGAGATGCCTTATAATATTTTTATACATAAAAAAACTACTGGTTGTATGCTGATATCTGCTGTGCAACAGAATGTCATAGGATCTAGTGTATGAAGCTCTACTTTTCCATGGAGGGGTGTTACATAAACCCATTAGTGAAATTTAGGGAAGTTTCACTCAGACTAGGGATGATGAAGAATGGAGCATCCATATGTTGATAGAAACACACTTACACACACACACACACACACACACACACACAGAGAGAGAGAGAGAGAAAGAATGAATGAGAAGCAAAAACAGATGAGTACAAAATTGAGCATAAGAGAGGGTGTGAGGGTGTACTGGAAGCAATAAAAATGGGAACTAACATTCATTATCTTCTATGGGCCAGCCCCTTTATCTCCAGTCTTCACAACAACCAGCAAGGCAGGCAGGAGAAAACCGAGGTTGAAAAATGTTATATAACTTGCCCAGGGTCATAAAGCTATACATGACAGAACTGGAACTGGTAGTGTTGGTATGTGTCTGAAACCAAAGTCACTACCTATTCTAGTATACCACTCTGTTAAAAAAAAAAGCGTATTTGGAAAATTTGGGGATCAGAGGATTTGGAGAATTTTCTTTCCCTACTTCCCCTCTGACAGTCTTCTTTGTTTTTGGTTCTGACGTTTGCACCCTAGAGGCTGAGTGTGATGAAATATGGGCATCTGTAAACAGAGTGATTCCATAGCCCCCACTGTGTAAGAATTTCCTTCCTTCAGAGCCTTACTAGGATTTGGATGGGATGAGGGGTGGCGAAGTGGGAGACAAGAGGTCAGAACAGGGAGAGTGTTAGTAAAAGATGGGTGATTCTTTGCTTACTTTTAAGTTGTTTATGAATTTCAGGACAACCCGTTGGCTATTCTCTTCTCTGGCTCTGCATATATATATACATATATATAGTTTTTCATTTTTGTTTTGTGAGAGTGGTGGTTTAGGTGTTAAGGGTTTGGTTGGTATTTGTAGAAAATTTCTGTAATGATCTGCACAGTAGATAAAAAGTTAAGGTCAAAGACAATTCCTTCGTCTGTTTTGGGAGAGGAGTATGTATGTCTGAAAAAAATGTTTGTTCTGGGTCACTCTTCTTTCATCCAGACACATAATAAAGGGATTAGAAGGGGGTCTCCCGGCCATCCCCGAAACCGTGAGAAACAAAAGAAGAGATTCCCTTACATTCCTTCTCTCAGGTGCCGGTCTGAGTGACGAGAACGTTCACGTACTTTCGGGAGAGAAGGAAAAGGTGCTCAGGTCTTGCAGGGGGCAGGAAACGCCAGGGGTTGGTGGGAAGTGAGGGGCTTCCGGTTTCCGGGAAGCGGAGTCCCGGGCCGGTCACGGGCCGCGGGCCGCGGGCCGCGCGCCGTGCGCCGTGCAGGGAGCGCGAGCCCTAGCCGCCCCCAGGACTCGCTCCCTAGCGTTCCCTGCCGCTCGTGACCGGCGCGGCCGCCGCAGTCCCGATGCCGTAGCCGGACGTGGAGTCCAGGGGGCGCTGTGGCCCAGCGGCGCGGGCGGCAGGAGCGGCCACCCCGACGCTGGAGGCTTCGCCGAGGATCCCCGCCTGCCGCACTTCGGTCGTCCCGCAGCGGCCTTGCGCCCCCGGCCCGGCTCGGCGGCGCTCCTTCGGGATCCGCGTGGCTGCCGCGGCCCGGGCGCCGATGCGGCCGGGTGGGCGCCGGCCCTCAGCAGCAGTAGCAGCGGAAGCCGCAGCAACCGCAGCTCTTACAGTAGTGGGAGGCTTCGCGGCGGCGCCTGGGGCCGTGCCGGTGCCCTCCTGAGGAGGCTTTCTGCTCAGGGACGACCCGCCTGGCCATGCTGAAGCGGAGGCGGCCGCTGCTCGAGGTGAGTGTGGCGCGGCGCGGTCCGGGGCTCGCCCTCTTGGGGCCCTGGCTGCAGCCCTTGGGTCGGGCGGACCGGGCGTTCTACCGCTGCGGCCGCCTCCCTCACCCCGCGGTCCTGGGGCCTCAGCCCTTCCTCCCCGCGTCCCCTGGGAGGCTGAAGGCCGTGGGGGGCACCTAGGCCCCGCGCCGTTGGGATGCCCTCGCCCCGGCCCCGGTTCCGGCGCGGCCCGGTGTGTGGAGCTGGGGGCCGGCAGGAGCACGGCCGCCTTTCGGATTTGCACGGGCCGGGGCCGAGCGCAGCAGCCTCTTAGCCCGGGCCCTGTAAGTACATCCCGGAGGGAGGCAGATGACGCCTATTTGCAAACAGCTTTGGCTTCCCAGCGTCCCATTCCGAGTCCCGCAGAATCCCGGTGGGGGGAAAGGGGGAGGGGAGGAAGGTCAGAGTGAGAATTGGGGTGCAGAGAGTGCGGGACCAAGAGACCCCCTGGTACTGCTGGAGTGTCATTCGTGGATCTGACTTGCTCGAGAACAACCTTTTGCGTCTTGGGGTGAAATTTCATCACCTGCTGATGGCTCATCCCTGCCTCCTTATGTTGTATCTTTCCTCTAAGCGTGGTCTGCCTTGAAGCCCCATTGCATCTTTGCGATGCTGTTTTCTAGATAAACACTCATAGTTATAAAAACGTTTTTTACACAGGTCTGCCCCCCCCCCCCCAACGCCACGCCAGAGGAAATATTTTAATGCTTCAGTGTTCGGTACAAAGATGTTCCACTTAAAGAGATCCAGAGAATGGTTGGCAAGAGGATTTTAAGTCCTCTTTAAGTGCCAGCTACCTTAATAAATAACTGAAGGAAATGGAATACATGCTAAATTTTAGAAATAAAATGATTTGTTCTGATGTTAGTGTTGAAAAATGTTAGTGATTACAGTTTGATAAGGTAAGTCAGATATTTATGTTTTTGAGAAATGCAATTACAGGTTATTCTTGCTTTCCTGTTATGTGTGTGAAAGTTACAAGACTTATAGGTACTTGCAAAACTTTTATAATCATGAAAAAAATGTGCTTATTGTGGAAAATTTGGGAAGTACAGAAATGTACTGTGTTGGGTCTTAATAGTAATAGGAGAAATCACCCATACTCTCACAGATTGTAAACGGTACAGGTTTATAATGAGCTTGTACAGTGATTTTAAAAATTATTATTTCTGTATATTAGATTTAAAATTATCTGACTGTTCCATTTTACACTGTCATTTGTATAAGACCTATAAAAATGTATTACTAAATTACATTGGAACTGTAGTTGAATTCATCAATTAAAACAGAAGAATATGGGTACCTACTTAAAAGATCCCTGACTTAACAGACTATGCAGCATGGGGCTCCATCTAGGGAGAAAGTTGGGCATGGTGCGTTTTTGTTTTGAAGACCTACTGTGTTAGATGCTGTAGTCTTGCCTTGTTTTTGTCAGATTTTAAATATTTCTAACTGTTAAAAATTGACTTGATTACCAGTTATTTAGGTAGGTTAATTTAGGTTTTTAAAAGTCTAATTCAGGCAAGGTGTGGCAGCTAGGCCTACTGGGGAGGCTGAATGGGGAGGACCCCTTGAGCCTAGGAGTTCCAGTCCAGCCTGGGCAACGTAAGCAAGATGCCCCTCTCCAAGGCAGGTGGATCACGAGGCCAGTCTGGCCAATATGGTGAAACCCAGTCTTTACTGAAAATACAAAAATTAGCTGAGCCTAGTGGTGCACACCTTTAGTCCCAGGTGGCTGAGGCAGGAGAATTGCTTGAACCTGGGAGGTGATGGTTGCAGTGAGCCAAGATTGAGCCACTGACTCTAGCCTAGGAGATACGGCAAGACTCCATCTCAAAAAAAAAAAAAGTTGAATACAGTTCTCAGTGTGTCCCTAAAGACCACCAACATTAGAATCCATTGAGAGTGCTTGGTGTATATATATATAACATAGGTATTATATGTAATATATAAAAATATGCAGATTCTTGGTCCCTTGAATAGAAATTCTGGGGATGATGATGGTCCAAATAACTTTATTTTTATTAATCTCCCTGATTCTTAGATCTACTAAAGTTTGAGAATCACTGCTATAGTAAGTTTAAAGTTAACCTTGCTGAGCCAAAGGAAGGTGTTTATTTTCTAGGAAAACTATAAATCTTAAGTGGCAATGCATTTTTTTTTCTTCCTTGCAGCTCCAGCTTAAAGGACCTCATTTCTTGTAGTTACAGATACTAGTGTTATAATGTTAGAAAGAAAAATTATATTTTGTGGGACAGCTTATCCAATCAGCAGCCATTTATTGGGAGCCTCCTGTGATAGCTGTGGTGTTATAGAAGAGTACCTGGCCATTTACCTTGGCATTTAATGGACACCAATGTCATTGTAAAATGCATATGTATCAGTTATTATGCTTACCTTGCAAGGCTTTTAGGATAAATACATCTGAAAATGTATAACAATCTTTTAAAGATTCTTATACAGTTTTGACTGTTAAGTGCCAGGTCCTGTTGTAGGTATTCTGGGAAACACAAAAATGACCAAGGGCACTCCTAAACTTGTCCTGTGTAAGCAGGATACCTATAATTAGCTGTTACAAGGTAGGGTCAGACAGGACAAGTGTTGTAATTGAGTGGAATGTGCTAAATCTCCGTTTAAGTCTTCTGCCTTATCTTGCCCTTTAAGAACATTGATAATGATTTTTATATATTATTCCTTTCTCTTCCAATTCCTGATTCAGAGTTTTCTTTAAGGAAATAATTGTTTATATTGCCTGGTGATAGTTTCATATTAACTCATTTAGAAAGGCAGAGTGAGTAGAGATGATACCATTCCTTCCTCTGTTGCTAAGCTACCACTATTCATTCCATTCAGTAAACTTTTATTTGGCACCTTGTAAACGTGCTAGCCATAGACTGGTTGCAAGGCACAAAGCCTGTTTAAAAGATAATTGCCTGGATTTTCGCTTAAGTTCTTATGTTCCTAAAGGGATGGTGTATATATGTGGTTTTATGGTTGTTAATTGCATAATGTGGTGCCGAGTATGGAGTCAGATGTGAGCAGGAATCCTTACTACACCTCTTAAAGCAATGTGACATTTAGATTTTGAATTTCTTATGTACTATTGGAATAACAGTACCCCTCCCAGCAAAAATCAGACATTTAAATTAATGCTGTTGTGAAGAACAGGTTCCATGAGTTAAAAGTAACCAAAAGCAATTAGCTCAGTGTTTGTCATGCAGAAGGTGCCCAATGAAAGTATATTTCTTTCCTCTTTTTGGGAAAAACAAAAATCAGACATTGAAATTTCTGTGTGACTTAAAACTTGGTTGCTTTATTTTTTTTTTTAGAGACTAAATCTACTTTTGGAATTGTTTGGGATTTTTTATGGAAAACAGTTTTGATCTTAGTATATTTTTCATTTCATTTTTAGCCAGTAAATTAGTATTCCCTGTGTATAGGATACACTTGTTGCAAATTCATTTTCAGAGTTTTCATTGATCTTTAACACTTGACCTGCATTATATAGAGCAACATTATTAGTACAGTCAGACCTCTGTATCTGTGGCTCCCATCAACCAAGGCTCAAAAAAATCCACAAAACAATAAAAAGTAATCATACAATAATAAAAATGATACAAATAAAAACCCAATACAGTATAGCAGTTGATTTGTATAGCACTTACATTGTGTTTGGCATTATAGGTAATCTAAACATGATTTAAAGTATACCGGAGGATGTGAATATGTTATATGCAAATACTGTGCCAATTTATATGGGATTGGAGCATCCACAGATTTTGGTATCCTATGGGTTCCTCAAACCAGTCCCCCACAGATACAGAGACAACTGTATATAACAATATTGGAAAATACATAGTTGCAGGCACTGAATTGAAATAGTTTATGTGGTTTTCAAAAAACTCTCAATTTATTAAATTTACTTAAGAACTGTTTTCAGAACATAGACTTTTCCTTATAAACTACAGTAGATTAGAACTAGATTTTATAGCCTGTCAGTCTTTGATTATAACCTGCATTACTTGGACAAGTTTCTTACCTCCATTAAGCCTCAATTTACTTTTATATAAAATGCAACTGATAATACCCACCTTACAGGATTATTGTATCAAATGATATAATGTGTAAATCAAAGCTATAGTTCAGTCCCATGAGTCCTGGTAAATCTGGACTCTGGAAGTGGAAAATATATTTCTGAGTTTTTAAAAAAGAGCTTTCAAGATTGTTAATTATTTTACTACTAAGTAAAATCAGCATGATCCAATTTTGAAGTATTAGAAATTGCTAAATTAAGGTGGAACCAAGGTGTCAGTATAATAAGTAATTATGGAGTTAGTAGAATGCCTTGTACTTTATAATGATAAATTTTATTTAATAAAATAATTTGAAAAGTGCTGTTTTTACAGGTTGAGCATCCCTAATCCAGGAGTCTGAAATTTGAAATGCTTGTAGGTCCAAAACTTTTTGAGCATTGACATGATGTCACAAGTGGAAAATTCCACACCTAACCTCATGTGATGGGTCATAATCAAAACAGCCAAAACTTTGTTTCATGTACAAAGTTATTAAACATCGTGTATACAATTATCTTTAGGCTATGTGTATAAGGTATATATAAAGCAAATGAATTTCATGTTTAGACTTGTGTCCCAATCCTAATCTGTCCCAAATGCTTCTAAATCTAATCTGTCCCAAATGCTTCTGGTTCCAAGCATTTTAGATAAGGGATAGTCGATGCCTAAAGTATTTTCCATTTTACAAATTAAGTAGTACTTACATTTTTCTTTTAAATTATCATAAATAGCCCATTTACAGAACTGGAAAAGTTAGAGCAGTATAACATATTCACAATGTTGTACAAATATCACTGCTGTCTAATTTTAGAACATTTTAATCACTCCAAAAAGAAACTTGTACCTGTTAGCAGTCACTTCCAGGATCTCCCCAATTCTCCCAGCCCTAGGCAACCACTAATGTACTTTCTGACTCTATGGATTTGCCTATCTGTTCAGGACATTTCACGTAAGTGGAATTGTATGATAATGATTGATTTCTTTTTCTTTTTATTACAAAGCTACTTTTAATACTTTGGGGTGAGCCTCACAGGAATAAAAACACTGGGAAGGGGTAACCCCCTCATCCCCGGGAGTGGCCCTGGGTGAGAGAGGCTACCTGAGGGGAAGGAAGCTCAAAAGGGACCCGCTGCAGACTCAGGGCAAAGGGAATGCCATAGGTGCTGGGACCTGTGAGCAATGCAGGAGGAAACACAAGCATGGTAGAACTGGTCCAAGCACACAGGTGAAGGGCAAGAGGATTGGACACGAAGCCACAAAGCTACTTGGATTCCTCCTCCTACTCATTTGTCTTTTTCTGCTTCTGCTGAATGATCTTGGAGTCCTCTGCTTGCAGGCGGCAGCAAAAAGCCCGTCATCTCGACACTTTCCCGTAACCTAGTCTCTCTGCTTTTTTAGTCCTCTGGTGGGTGAGCTCTCACTGATTACCGCGAGTCATGGCGAGGGCAGCGGCTCTGACTTCCCTTCGTTATGTCCCCTCCTTCTGTCCGCTGATTTCTTTTACTTAGCATAATAGTTTTCGGGTTCAGTAGCAAGTGTCAATACTTCATTTCTTTTTATTGCTGAATAATATTCCATTGTATGGAAATACCACATTTTATTTATCATCAGTTGGGGGCTGTTTCTAACTTTTTGGCTACTATAAATAGTGCTGTTGTGAATATTCATGTGCAAATTATTGTGTGGGAATATGCTTTCATTTTTCTTGGGTATTTATAGGTGTGAAATTGCTGGGCCTCTCTAGAAACTCAGACTTTTTACAAAGCAGCTGCATCTTTTCACATTCCCACCTGCATTGTATGAAGCTTCCAATTTCTTTACATCTTCACCAACACTTGTTATTTATTTTTTTGATTATACCCATCCTAGTGAGTGTGAAGTGGTAAGGTGAGGCTCTATTTGCGGTTTGTAACTTTTTATTTTTTCAGTAGAGACTGGGTTTCATCATGTTGGGCAGGCTGGTCTGGACCTCCTAACCTCAAATGCTCCACCCACAGCCTCCCAAAGAGCTGGGATTACAGACGTGAGCCACCAGGCTCTTGTTCAGTAACTTTTGTTTATGGTCATTAGGTAAATAGTTGAAACTTTTGCTTGGAGATACGTTGCCAGATTCTTTGATGACAAAGAATGTTTTTGGCTTTAGGATAAAAGCTGTAGGCCAGGTGGGTGGATCGCCTGAGGTCAGGAGTTAGAGACCAGCCTGGCCAATATAGCAAAATCCCTGTCTCTACTAAAAAGACAATAATTAGGTGGGCATGGTGGCGGATGCCTGTAATCCCAACTACTTGGAAGGCTGAGACAGGAGAATCACTTGAAACCAGGAGGTGACAGTTGCAGTGAGCTGAGACCTCGAGATTGCACTATAGCTTGGGCTAGAAGAGTGAAACCCATCTCAAAAAAAAAAAAAAAAAAAAGAAAAGCTATAAATTTTCCAGTTTCTTGTTGAGTAAATAGTGAACTCTGGTGGATGGAACTGATTAATCACATTGGATGGTGATGGGAATGGTGGTGTGAGGACTTAAGCTATATAAAAGGCTGTCTTCTATTAATATGAATATTTCTTTCTTTCTCTTTTGAGATGGAGTCTCGCTCTGTCACCCAGACTGGAGTGCAGTGGCACAGTCTTGGCTCACTGCAACCTCTGTCTCCCAGGTTCAAGTGATTCTCCTGCCTTAGCCTCCCGTAGCGAGGACTACAGGCACGTGCCAACAGGCCTGGCTAATTTTTATATTTTTAGTAGAGATGGGGTTTCACCAGGTTGGCCAGGCTGGTCTTGAACTGACCACAAGTGATCTGCTTGCCTCGGCCTCCCAAAGTGCTGGGATTATAGGCGTGAGCCACTGTTCCCAGCCTTAATAGGAATATTTCTTTCTCTTTTCTTTTTTTTTTTTGAGATAGAGTCTCACTCTGTCGCCCATGCTGGAGTGTAGCGGCATGATCTCAGCTCACTGCAACCTCTGCCTACTGGATTCAAGCAATTCTCCTGACTCAGCCTCTCAAGTAGCTGTTACTACAGGGGCCTGCCACTATGTACCACTGATTTTTGTATTTTGAGTAGAGAAGGGGTTTCACCATGTTAGCCAGACTGATCTCGAACAGCAGACTATGATCAGCCCACTTTGGACTTCCAAAGTGCTGGTGTTACAGATGTGAGCCACTGGGCCTGGACAATATGAATATTTCTTAAGGCAATTGTAATGTCTAGGTTTAGTTTAGTTGTTGTTGTTTTTTTTAACTCTACTGAAACATTTCTAAACATTTACAGTCCAGTTTCTTGTTAACATTTCTAGGCAGTCAGGTGTGCCATTACCTCTCAATAATACATAATTTTATGTAAATATAAATGTCATTGTTCGTCATATGTAGAATAATATGCAATGTTTTGGTTACTAAGTCAAGATATTAAAGCCTTCCCATGAGGTTTTTTAGGACATAGTTGAAAGTCAACACTAATGACTTGCTAATGTTTCTAAAGTTTTTTTCAAACTGGTTAGGAAATATTGCAGAGAACCATTGTTCGAGGAAACAAAGTGCAAGTTTTAGACCTTCATTTTACATACAGTGGATCACCCACAGTATTTTCCCACTTCACTTTTAGAATCTATAATGGTGATTTTGAACTGAAAGTCTTGTTCTAGTTTATTATACAATCTTTTAGTTCCTTTGGATGGCATAATTTCCATATAAAGTTACAAAAACAGTAGTTCTGGAGCCTTTTTGGTAAGATTAATGAAAAGATGCATTTCTGTTTGCAATATGGTTTAGTTCTTTTATAACCTTTCGTGGTTAAGGTTTGGTGTTTATCTGCGAGACTTCATTTTATTAAAATGAAGAAAGTAAATTGTACATATTTTTATGATTTAATAGCACAACAGAGTCTATCTCAAAATTCTCTTTATTAAAATAAATTGACTGGGTGTGGTGGCATGTGCCTGTAGTCCCAGTTACTTGGGAGGCGGAGGTGGGAAGATTGTATGAGCCCAGCAGTTCTGGGTTGTAGTGTCCTATGCTGATCTGGTGCTGCATTAAGTTTGGCATCAGTATGGTAACCTCCTGGAAGTGGGAGACAATCAGATTCCCTAAGGAGAGGTGAACTGTGCCAGGCTGGGAATGGAGTAGGTCAAAACTCCCATGCTGATCAGTAGTGGGATCATGCCTGTGAATAGCCACTGCACTCCAGTCTGGGCAACATAGTGAGACCTCATCTCTAAATAAATAAATCAATCTATAGATAGATAGGGCTTGGCACGGTGGCTCACACCTATAATCCCAGTACTTTGGGAGGCCTAGGTGGGTGGATCACTTGAAGTCTGGAGTTTGAGACGAGCCTGGCCAACATGGTGAAACCCCGTCTCTACTAAAAATACAAAAATTAACTGGGCATGATGGTGGGCGCATGTAGTCCCAGCTACTCAGGAGGCTGAGGTGGGAGAATTGCTTGAAACCAGTGACCTGGAATGGGAGGCTGCCGTGAGCTGAGATCACGCCACTGTACTCCAGCCTGGGCAACAGGGGGAGACCCTGTCTCAAAAAAAAAAAAAAAAACCTGTAATCCCAGCACTTTGGGAGGCCGAGTCGGGGAGATCATGAGGTCAGCAGTTCAAGACCAGCCTGGCCAACATGGTGAAACCCCATCTGTATTAGCTGGGTGTGACGGCGTGTGCCTGTAAACCCAGCTACTTGGGAGGCTGAGGCAGGAGAATTGCTTGAACCAGGAGCCAGGAGGCGGAGGTTGTAGTGAGCCGAGGTTGCACCACTCTACTCTAGCTTGGGCTACAAAGCGAGACTCCGTCTCAAAAAAAAAAAAAAAAAAAGACAGACTAAGCAATGTCAAAATTTTGTAAAAGCATTCAGTCAGGATTTATATAAACTTCAGTCTCCATTTTAAATTTTCAATTGAGCAGGAGAAACAATCCCTAAAAGGTAATTGAAATAAAACACTGCCATTTTGAAACTTGAACTTCACAATACGTCATGTAGGCCTTTTTGTGATTCTGGTGTTCATTGTCCTTTTTTTTTTTTTAGTAGTAGCTGAGGTAAATTATTTTTGAAGTTATTGTGAGGTCACTCTTGGAAATTTCTGCTCTATGTTTAAAAAGCAAGGTTGAGATTCTTTAATGTGGCATTCAGGATTTAGTTCCAGCTTGATCATTCCACTCCTGTTTTTGCATCCAGTTCTTCCAAGATTCCAGGTTTATGGAGTTTTCCTTGATTCTTTTACCTTGTATTACTTATTTGTGTAATAAAAGCTTTCCCTGTACTGTGTGTCATCTTTCTGGTAAGTGTTTCACATATATTATTTCTAACTCTTATTAGGGATATTATAAGGTCATTGTATTACTACATGTTTTACAGCTGAGGGAACTAAGGCTTGGTGAGTTTTACTGATTTTCCTAAGCTTAAGCTCACATTCATGATTCAAACTCATATATCTAACTCATATATCTCTGACTAGAAAGTCCACACACTTTTTTTCATCCTGTGAATCTTGTCATGTTCAGTGTGTTTTTTTTTTTGAGATAGAGTCTTGTGTCACCCAGGCTGGAGTGCTGGAGTGCAGTGGTGCGGTCGCAGCTCACTGCAACCTGCATCTTTCAGGTTCAAGCAGTTCTCCTGCCTCAGCCTCCTGAGTAGCTGGGATTACAGGTACCTTGCCACCATGCCTGGCTAATTTTTTGTATTTTTAGCAGAGACAGGGTTTCACCATGTTGGTGAGGCTGGTCCTGAACTCCTGACTTCAAATGGTCTGCCTGCCTCAGCCTCCCAAAGTGCTAGGATTAGAGGCATGAGCCACTGCTCCCTGCCCATCCAGGATTTCTAAAGTGTGTTCCTTAGGAGCGAGGAAATGTTCTTTAGTCAGATAAGTTTGGGTTTTCAGCTTACTGTATCCCTCAAGTAGGAGTTAGCAAATACACATTAGTATTCTAAAGACTGAGGAATAAAAGAAACTTCTTTAACTTTGTTCAGATATGTATTACCCCAATTTTTTTTTTTTTTGAAATGGAGTTTTGCTCTTGTTGCCCAGGCTGGAGTGCAGTGGTACCATCTTGGCTCACTGCAACCTCTGCCTCCCAGGTTCAAACAATTCTCCTGCCTCAGCCTCCTGAGTAGCTGGGATTACAGCTGTGCACCACCATGCCCAGCTAATTTTTGTTTTTTTTGAGATGGAGTTTCGCTGTTGTTACCCAGACTGGAGTGCAATGGCACGATTTCGGCTCACCGCAACCTCTGCCTTCTGGGTTCAAGCAATTCTCTTGCCTCAGCCTCCCACGTAGCTGGGACTACAGGCGCGCAGTACCATGCCGAGCTAATTTTTGTATTTTTAGGGACGGGGTTTCACCATGTTGACCAGGATGGTCTCGATCTCTTGACCTCGTGATCCACCCGCCTCGGTCTCCCAAAGTGCTGGGATTACAGGCTTGAGCCACCGTGCCGGGC